ATGAAGGGTGCGTTTTCAAGGTAGATGAACCACTAAATACATATTTGCCATCTCCTATGCAAAAATACTGTACCTTGTTTTACTCAAGAAAATAAGAGTCTTCAAATTTTTAAGCTTCCCAGTAATGAAAGTGTTTCATTAAATTTAATTGTTTTCCAATATTATTTTGATTTGTAGTACATCTTGAGAAATATGTATGTGGCAAAGTTTGCGGCCCGCCGGGACTTCAGATTTATGCTTGCGGCCCTCGTGGTAATTTGAGTTGTGCAGGCCTGACCTAGGATAGTATGTCACAAACAACGATATTTTCTGGCTTGCATGAAATGTTTATGAATAATTTAATAACTCTTCTTGACTATTCAGCAGACTATATAGGCCACAGCATATTTGGAAATAGAAATTAATGGCTGTTTCTGTAATGCACGGTTGTGTGAAAGAGAAGAAAATAATCAATTTTACTAATGCCGGTTGGTCTAAATCTGAATTCATGAGATACTGGGAAGCAATGATAAGTTATGCAGTGGAAAAAAATGTATCATTGGAAGCGATTGAGAGGTGAGAAATCAAGTTGTAGATAGACAGTTGATGTTTTAAAATATAGTCTACAGTCCAAACTCATAGTGAATTTCAGACCGTGATATATCAAAATTTAGTGTAGATATAGTCTAGTTCTGGTATGCAAACACTACTGGACTGTACATCAAAAAAAATGCATTATGTATTAGTTAGTATTTAGTGGTCTTTTTACACTCATGCTGTTCAAAATATCAATTTCTTTCTCATTTTAGATACTGTACTACAAAAGAAAACGGCAATGTTTCACCAATCCGACCTAACGCAGGCTCTAATCCCTGCTGCTATTAGTGCTATAAAATGGATTAAACAAGAAGTCTTGAAGCGTAAAGGTATATGAGAATCATAATAGTTGCAAACAGCTTAGAGGGGTTTTCATATTGAAATATTTTAGCACTTTTCTGCAATTGGAACTGCCAAGGACACCCGTTTTTGAAAATACAAGGTTATATCGCAAAACGTGTTTTGTTACATTTAAAATAAAACGTTTTTGCGATTAATTTAGATCAAATTTGACCTTTCACGGCAACCCGTTTCCGAAAATACAAGGTTATATTGCGAAAATGTGTTTTGTTACACTTAAAATAAAACATTTTTGCGATTAATTTAGATCATATTTTACTTTTCAGGACACTCGTTTTCGAAAATACAAGGTTATATCGCAAAACGTGTTTTGTTACATTTAAAATAAAACGTTAAAAGCAGTAGACAAAAATAATGTAACAAACCTGTAGACCCGATTAGCGCGTATACATACATACCTGCAGTTTTCGTCGCCAGGTAACCGTTGGTCACGCATGAATGCGCCAGAATTTCATAATACTTAAATTCATAAACAAAACATTTTGAAGATTTGTTTATTCGCTGTCGCACATGGGGATTCTCATTTACCACGAGTAATTATTTTAAACCGTCTTTCAAAATATTGACACACAAGTGACTTTGCTTTCCGTAAAGGCATCGTAGCAGACAACCACCAGTACAAAACTAGCCGGAGCACTAACCTTAGAGAACAACGTAGCCAGAAAGCAACCCATTCCGCCCAAAATACACCAAGTTATTCTTCCCAAAGACATTTCACTCCGAATAGATTAATATAGAATCACCCAAAAGATTTACGCAACAAATCAATATACTCATAACTCTACGAGGTCAAATATGAAAACTTGATTGCAGAAGTAGTTCAACGGCTACATTTTGGCAAGACGATACGTGATACGACTTACAACGATAATCACGCATTGTTGCAACACAGCCGGAAACTTGTTTACGAATGTTCCATTGTGAAGTCATATATTCAGGCTTGTGCATGGGATGGGATAGCAAATATTTGTATTCCCATGGAACATGTGGGACACGAAAACCGTATTATTTTCGGCAAAATGATTGTAAAACATTTCGTTATGAATTTCGTGTCCATATATTTGAGCATAGCTCTCTTGTTAGTTATAAAGAGCAAAATATATTCAGCATTAAAAATATATTTCGTGAAGGGGCTGATGGACGCATGTATAATAGTTATGAATATAAAGTTAACAAAGTCCGTAAATTTTGTTGTTTTGCATGTCTATTCGTACACGTAGTCCGATTCCGTAGACGCTAAACCTAAATTCAATGATTTTTATTGAATTTTATTCCAATGGGATGAGACAGGCATAATTGCTATGTGATGGGACAGAAAAAAAATGTTCCATGGACAAGCCTGCATATATTAGAGGTTAGAGCCCAAATTTCGATTTTATCGAAGTCCGAATTTTTCTCAATCAGGTGATTGATATTTGGATATCATGGAACTAATTTTTGATTTTATGGCACTGCTCCGTCGAGGAGCAGACGAGCCCTGCTGCCCTTTGGCAAAGTTTGGTAGGACTTCGTTAGGATTTCAGATGATATAAATAAATAAAATAAATGTCATATTTACTGTATTTCTTCGTACCATCAAAATTCGTATTCAGATATTTGAGCGGAAAAAATAGTCATGATGCTCACAACCAACGACTTCATTACCAACCTTGAAGTCCAAAACCTTGTAGATATTCGACATTTGTTCACGTTTACTTTACATTTTGAAAATTTATATTTTTTTGCCGACCTTAAAATCATTATGTAGATAGCGATTATCTTATTTTCGATTTCATTAATTTACAGCACTTTTCCGAGCGGAGCTGGAACTGGCAAAGACATGTACAGAAAACGGTGATATGTCGGTATATAAAAGGATTCCTGAATACTCAATATCATTTCAACCGTTATATAAATGAGTTTGGAGTTTCATACCGGCGCATTAGTGAAACATTATTTAATTTTTACTCAATGCAATGAAATTTTCTCTATGCTGTAAACTTAGCTAGAAATCAATTTCGTTGAATAATTCGTTTCATTTGATGTTATTTAGAAATTATGGAGGTTTAGTCAAAAAAGTTTGTCGATACTGGTTAGTAGATACAGGTAGTTTGTAGACTAATATGATATGTAAAAGTTAATAATGTCCTGAGCAGATGTTGACATTATCTATCGAACCAAAAAATTATTGCCCCATCTAACATGAATACTACCATATTATTTTATGATATTTCTATCATTCTATTGCATTTTTCTCTCCGATTTTATATGTAACTAAAATACCTTATATATATTTTTTTTCTATGCCAAGATGTTTGTTATTTTATTGCAAGCATCAATTGCTTTTACTATTTTATACCAATTTATTTTTATTTCTGTGTTAAGTTCCCATATTTTTTTCATTTTCAAGTCATTCGTACTTAATGATACTAGCCCAATTGAAAAAATACTACAATCACAATTTCTTGAATCATTGTGATCATATATTTTTGGCGCATTTACTAAAAAGAACATATGGTCATGATTTTGATAGAATTAGTCTGCTTTACGAATGCGTCTTTTTAACAAAAATAAACGAATTGCTTCAATTGAGCATTGGCTAATTGAGCATATACTATAGCTAAAGATAGTATTATTTATTACGTAATTTGTCTACAAATATCTCATTCATTGGGGGCACGTTTTCCAAACTGGAAAACAACTCATCCCTGGAGGGGAACTTTGTTCTTTTGAGAAGTTGTCGGTTTTGTATTTGCTGTAGCATTACTGATTCCCCAAAGTTCTAAGGATTAAATTATTACAGTAGTTTTTATGCATAGTGGGGGAAGAATAAAAAGATTTGATAAGGGAGAAGTTTAACGGATAAGGTTTAGAATCACATGACTTCTACACCTACATCTGATCCATTAAATGTTTTGTCCACATGTATCCCATTTATCATACATACCATTTAACAGATGTTTTGCCACCAACAGCTCATTCGTGAAATGTTTTCTTTTCATACATGTCGTTTAGGAGTTTTGTCCACATATATCTCATTCGCCAGATATTTTGTCCATATACATCTCTATTCCCTGATGAAACAACAGCTCATTCGCGAAATGTTTTCTCTCCATACATTTCGCCAAGAGGTTTTGTCCACATGTATCTCATTCGCCGAATATTTTGTCCACATGAATCCCGTTTATCATACATTTCATTCACCAGATACTTTGTCTATATATATTTCGTTTCCCTCATAAAACAGTCGCCGTGATTATTCGCTCGTTAAAAAAAACGACTTTTTCAGTGAGACTCTTCTGTGGCGTATAATATTCAATCCATGGTAATTAACTAATTGTGTCCAACGTAATACATGAGATAAACTGTCTAATTATTACTTTTCGATTTTAATCGGTAAGTATGTTGATAGGTATTTGTCTGTCTGTCTGTTAAAAGATAAAAACACGAACTGTGTTATCGTTCGGGCGTCTGACTTGTGTAATAAACAAACTGCAGGTGCGGTGGGTTCTAATTTAAAACTGTTGAAATGGACATGATTGGGCTGTGTTTATTTTTCCGAATTTGTTTACACGATTACACGAGCCGTTTTAAAGCAAACCAATAATTTAATAGACGTAAACAACTGCGAACTAGGGTGTTAGATAAAAACAGTGTCAGAATAAGTAGTAAATAAATCCAAATGTCTTTCAGTGGAATTCCTCATTATAAACAAGCGAGCTATGCTCAAATATATGGACACGTTTGACGTAAATGAAACTGATAGCCTTCTAAAGAAAATTTTTATCTTCAAGCACTAAAAATTTCAGAGCAATTGGTCCAGTAATCAAAGAGAAAAGCGAATTTTAAAAAACGTGTCACAGAACAACAACAACATTACACTGAAACGATCGTTATGTCCACTGACGTGTCCAATAAAATTCGACTTAGTGATGAGCTGTAGTGTACGAGGTGCAATGTACGAAAATTCTACGGGAATAAGTCTAATCTCGCATTTAAATTACCGATATATATTTGACTATGTATTGTTCTAAATCCCTACACGAGTTCCTATAGATGTTCAACGTTCTGAGCTCACGAAGGATTCAAAAGTTACAGAAATGCAAGATACATTGTATGAGGAACAGGGAAATAAATTACATATTGAGTTGTCACAGGAAACGTTAATGCAAATTTTTCACGATTGTATAGATGGTATGTAGATATTTTACATTTGTTCACGTTTACTTTACATTTTGAAAATTTACAATAATTGCCAATCTTAATATCATTATGTAGATAACGAATATCTCTTATTTTCTACTTCATTACTTTACCGAGCAAAGCTGGAAATGGACACAAAACGACGAATATGTATGGTATTTGTAGAGGGATATTTATAGAGATGCCGTGAATGCATTAACGTATTTTGAACGTCGAACAGGGCGATTGGAAAAGTAATGTCATATTAGCTATGTAATATATCAGCGCATTAGTAAGGCATTATTCCATTGTATGTCGAGGCGATGAAATTTTCTCTATGCTGTAAACTTAGCTAGCAATCATTTTCGCTGAATAATTCGTTTCATTTGATGTTATTTAGAAATTATGGAGGTTCAGGCAAAAAAGCTTGTCGATACTGGTTAGTATGTATTCGAATTCACTTCATTTTATGAAAAATTTCATGCAAAAAAAAAAGAAAAGTTTCGTTATAGATATCCAATCAACATTTCTTAAAAATGCCGATAACACTTTTGTTTCGATTTCGTGTTAATTAATACAGATCAACAACCAGCCATATTTAGGAAAAATCATTCATTGTTTGTGTACGCTTTGGGCTCATTCATAGTTTATTGCTATTTATGTTTTCATCTTCGTTTATGTCATTCGTCTATCGCTCAAATGATTATTATCTTAAACACCACTTAATTACATATAACGTGTTGGTAAAAATTGTCAATGTTTCAGCTATTATCAATGCTGTTACTATCCTTGCCAAGACTATGGGAAACTACAACGAGGAAAAAATCATTTCCGAAAGTTTGCACATACATTAACAGCAAGTTGATTTTTACTATGTAATTTAATATGTATTTTAGAAACCAAATATATTTATATATATATATATATATTTATTGGATTGCAGATCAACAGGATCTTGCCTGATCTATCAAGCCATTCATGGTAGTAATATTATGGAATCCAATATAGCTTAACGATGGTTTCCCACAGAATATTGTGTAATAAATCATTCTCAGAAAGTGGAAGATCTACAATATTTCATGTTTGCATGATGACGTGTACAATCTATGTCATAGCCGTGGTCTTGATATCCAACTCGCTTATGAAATGACATTGCGTGATGGCTTTACCTTGAATTACACCTACACAGAATTCGAGGGCGCGTGGATAAAATTAATCCTTCGACATAGAACATTTCAGGTTTGCGTCGGATATAGTTTATACCGAATATTTAAGGAAAAAGTGGAATAGTGCAATGCCCATCTCATTAATAATTCGCGACTTGCCCATCAATATAATGTCATCAGTATGTAAATTATTTGCATACGAAGTAATTAATCTTGAGAATAGAAGATTCCATAATACAAGTAAGAATACGGGTTGAGTGTTGAAGTAATGGTAATCGGCGTTTCTGGTTTTCGTCCAACATTTACGGATGGAACGAGATTCAGATCTGGGGGAAGCATCCCATATAAAAAAAATTCAACATGGTCTATCGCGCGCAATTGAAAACTTGAGAAAACAAGACAAATTGACCAAAGGCAACAAAATTATGCTCAAATCAAGTTTTTCAATTAACTTGGACTTAATGTTGGTTCTGGTTTAGTCTTGCCTGCGGGGCAGAGAACACAGCCGTTTAGTCTTCCCGCATGACGTTTCGTCTAATTATCACGTTGAACAACGTCAGCTCTGTTTAAAGAAAAGAATCATATTTCATGTTTTTTTTTAGAAAAAGGAAAAATTGAGCTCGAGTTTTGTATAAATACGACTTCCACCCGCTCATTTCTCCACTCGTCTGACTCGTTCAAAACGAAAGTTAGGAAATCGCCGATTGTTGCAACATACAGCCGGGATCCCAAGCATTTGGATATTTTTTATTTCGAAACTTGCAAAATAGAAAAGGTTGGTAGTTTGAGTAAATAATCGTTTAATTCGTCGATGTATTTGATATAGAAACTATAGAAAGCTGGACACATATTTTCTTGTGTTTAATGGACACATGAAATCTATACTGAGTGCTTTATACGTCAAAATATATTTTAATCAAAAGAAGAAAAGTATGGCCTATTTTGAATAAAAAGACTCAAAAGCTGCGTGATTATTATTTTTTGTCTAACATACTATGTTATTCATCTTAGCATTATTTTTGCATTTTTATTGCGTCAACTTATGTCCGCAGTTGAAACTGATATATTCCGGTTTAAGTAAGAACTTTTGCTTTAGAATATTGGTTTTATTACCTTAATTGAAACAGAATTATAAATTGATATGCGGTAAAAATAATGGCAATTCAGAAGTAGCAAGAATTGCGGCTATGTATGCTCAGTGTAAAAATATCCCTCACCATACGTACACATAGTCACGGAGATGATCACAAATTGAAATCGAAAGTTAAGATTTGAAGGATACTGAGAAAACTTTTACAATATATTTTTATGAATAACTTCATCATTGTAATTTCACCAAACTCCTTTTTTTTTCAAAATTTATCTTTTTATGTCATAGGTAGACAACATGAAGATTGCTATAATTGCCATCATTGCTTTATTGGAAGGTGTTTTCGGACAAGATGCAAGTAGATCGAACTATATCATATACAAGTTTAGAGACTTATAGGAAGTTTAGAACATTAGTTTGAAATCCAAAGCTTCGTGCAGTTAGGCACATAAGCTTACATAAAAACAATATATACACAAACAATAAGCAAGACAATATGATTTACTCTACCTGCGCTGACAAGATAGTATATTTATACTTCATTCCAAAATCTAGAAAATTGTTATCAACTTATTAATGAATCATGACAAAAAATCATTGCATTATCGTAATTTGTTATTACAGCTCTTACTGTCAATACTGAATGGCCACAAAATGAAGACTCAAACGCTGGTGCCCTTGTCAATTTTGCTTATTCCGATGTTGGAGAGGGTAGCTGCACGGCTGAACTTCCAGAAGCAGTCAATCTTTTTCATGTAAGTGTAATGTTAATATTTGAACCTATATGACAAAGTTTGGCTGCAAGGTGATTGAATTTATATATCTATATATACGATTAAAGAAAATGGCTAAATTGTGTAGATGCATCCAACATTATTTCCCGAAATTAATAGAAACATACAGACAGATTACTGGGACACGTTGTTTCATGTCCCGAATGTAGATTTATGAATTAAAGTAAGGAAGATGATGCACGGCAGAAAAAATTTTATATGAAAAAATATTTCGTCCGTCAAAAACCGGTTCTATTTCCAAAAAAATATTTTTATATTATCCTGTTTTAGGTAACGAACGGCCATATTGTCCCAGAAGACAGCAGCCCTATTGAAGGCAGTTACAAAATTGCCGCCCCAGCTAATTGGGAATTCATCAATGGAACTATAACTGTCCTCATTATTTCAACCGGGACGAAATTTTCAATATTACCGATATCGTTTTAATGTGACCAATCGATGTACAAGACTGTAAGTTTAAACAAACAATTGCTCTGCGTTGTAAATTAATTACTGCATGGACTAGTCACATAACAACACACTAAACTGTTGTAACGCTATTCGTATTTAAATTTCATCGCCGTAATTGAGTGTTGATGTTGCTTCGTGTCGATTTACTCAAATAATAATGTAAATACTGTTACATGATGAACTCACACGTATACATGCAGTACAACAAATTCTTTAAACTATTTTCCTAGTGGTGTGATAACCAAAATATCTTGTAACTAACATTTTAAAAGTTTAATTTTTGTAATTAACATACTAAAATGTAATTTTTTCTCAGTATCTGTCTACTCCTTCCCCAAAACGACCTTAGAAAAGAGGCCAGCTCCAATGTTTTTAAACGAAGCGGATTCCACGAGGGAGACGTTCTTACCATCACTCTTCCAGCAGCTGTTGCCAGATTTAACGTAAGATATTACAACAATATCTTTTTATTTTTCCAGTATCATTTTTTTTCTGTAACCAATCACACTATGTAAACCCTTTTCTAGATTACGGGTGGAGACAGCGAACTAGTTGTTGATGGCAAGGATACGACATACACAGTTTCAGGATTCAGGAATGAACAAGGCAATGGTGATCACAACGAGGTATCTTTCTACAAAATCGTGTTAATTACAATTATGAACGAGGGTCCGAAATTCCAAATATTTTCTTATTATCATCATTTTAATTTTAAATATACTGTGTGAGTTAACAAAACAATTAAACAACAAATATTGAAAAAAATCAAAACGAAGTCAGGATTTTCAAATTCTCATATTCTGTCTGTACACGTAATTTTATTCTTTCGATTTTAGGTCCACTTCAGTATTGAATACTCTAGAGAGGCTGGTACCTGGTTTTCTGCAGGAGAAATCACTGTTTCAGTCACCGAAAATGAAGCATCCGAAGATAGCCCAGAGACCTAAGCAGTTTTAAAAACATTATTCGTAATCTATAAGATCGTTTGGACAATTAGAAATAATCACATTATATATCTTTTAACAAATGTAGTTTTTGTAATAAAATAATAATTAGTAAACAGGCTCATCTGAAATTGAACAAAATGACACAAGTTAGATTTCGAATATTCATATTTTTCCTTTCAATTATTATTTCAATCTGATAAAAAGGTTAAGGTATTTCCTGTAGTTAAATCATTACAGACATATTTTGGCCAATGTACTCTTCAGTTCTATTTGTAAATTTGTTTGTAAATTTTTTGAATCGTGCTCCATGTTTCAAACTTAGTTTATCACAATTCGTAATAATTAAATCGTAAAACTTATCAAATATGGCAATTACGATACATTCAATTATAACCGAGAAGATTTTCATTCTCTGTTTTGGTTTTCACTGCCAAGAAAATATGGAAATAAAATGACTAAATGTATTTTTTCCAGTGTTTTATCGTTACCGAGCTGCAATAAGCAAGATTTCGACTTTTATACACGAATAAAGGACACCAGTTAAAATGTTTTGGTTGTGAGAACGGTAAACGACGGGCAGTTCTCGCAGAGGGTAGTTGTTGGTTTGAAATGCACAGATTGACAGTTTTTTCAAACAAGGCCACAGTCGTATTACAGTAAAGAAACGTATAGCTTATCGCAATGTAAAAACAATCTTGAATTTCCATTGATTAATTCATTATCCCGATTACTTCTGTCTTTGAGCAGAAGTGGCGAAGATCGGTAATTCAAGTTGAAAACCAGCGTTACTCACGAATTATATATATATATTATGCGATGAAATACAATAAACCCACATTATTATTACTAAAGGGGACAGGGAAGCAAAATACACGGCAAGTGCATTCTGTTATTTTCCATTCGAATCATATCTAGGATATTCTATCCCCTTTTGATCTCGCTTGTTGTTTGATTTACTTGAATTTCTGATATTTCACAGTTTCACTCGTTGGATCAACCCACTGGCGCCCATAAAATCTTTTCAATCGTTGGGAATAAAATATTTCCCAAAATTAAAAAAATATTGAAATTAGAAGATATTTTTGTTTAGCGGCTTTAGCCCCATTTGTAAGATGTGTGAATGTATATTGTACGATTATTCCCTCAAACGAACTATCACATGGCGTTAGAATTATTAGGCTGTATACGAAAAATAACCTTCAAATCAACACTACGTAATGATTGATCTTAGGAAGTATATTTCAAAGTATTCGGGCGAGCGAGTGCCCATTTGTGTTGTGTTTGTATTTAAAAGCATATTAAAATGTTGATTTTTTCGTCGCGAGGTTTCAAAAATGTTGCATGTTTGTAACGCGTTGTTTGGAACCGTCTTTCGCTGAGTGTTGTGATTTTCGAACCTCTGAACATTAATAAAGTCACGCAGTCATAAAGGAAATAAATAATAATAGTACGCTGAAATATGAATGAGAAATATTTAAAACGGGCTTTTTGTAGCCTTTAATAGCAATACAATATTAATATTATATATGCGTTTGTTTAGATGAGCACGAATCCTCATTTTGGTTGGCGCCCAGGGAAGGCAAACACGTAGTTCTTCTTCAACGGTTGTGGGTTTCTCATCAGTATTATATAACGTGCGGTATGCATTATAAATAATACTGGTAAACCGCCTTGAAATAGCTATCTTCGTCTGGTGTCTTTAAAACTGAAAACGAGATTTTGTTATTGCTGAAGAGAGTTATTGTTACCCGAGCATGGATTTGTTCACTGCCTATTGGTGACCAATCAGCAACAGGTTAAAATTAAAATTCAGGCGGCCGCTTAAGACTTATTGACTCGGTTTTATGTGTCATTCGTCAGTTTTTAACAATGTTTCTAAAATTAGGACATAAATAAAATAACTCTTTCGCGCGTAAAAAATTGTACTTCTTGTATTTCATCACTGACTGATTCGAGGTTGTTTTTATGGTTTATTACACGTAACAGAATCCTCTTGAAAACCTGGTGCTAGGTGAATTTCGATCACTTTTTGTTGTCATAAAATAAGCCAGAATGCAAAACAAATTTGGGGACAGCGAATAGACGCGGAACAGATGAAGGTCTCTCACGGAACACCGGTTCAAAATTACTCTAGCCTGATATAATGCATGCAACGCAGTCTTTTTTGTTTGTCACAAAAACTTGCGTAAGGATGGGGATGGGTACTTTATGATGTACAATTTCAATAACATAAAAATCGAACGGCATGTAATAATGAAGTTCACTCGGGCATTCCACGGATGGCTAAAATATAGGCAGAGTATAGTGTGAATAAAAGTTGTTATTATATATATACTCTGGGAGATGTCAGTCGCAAAAAATATAGAAATCACTAATGCGCATATAGGATAAGATTTCTTTACATAGTCATCCCGGGAAGAGAGGAAAGCCGGCTTAACCGTATGGCGAACCACGACCTCTCATCCGGTTACCATTCCAAGACAGGTATGAGATTAGTTAGTTATTTGTTTTCGGAAGCATGCTGGCTGAACCTGATGGTGGAGGAAGCCGTAACCGACCGGCGACCAGGGGTTACGAGGACCACCCTACGGCGGCGCGGAGTCCAGCAATCCTCTCGCACATAACCATCCCCTCATGGGATCCGAACCTGCAAACCCACGCAGAGTAATCAGAGGTGCTGTGGCGAGCGTGTTCCTTACGCTCAGCACAATGAGTCACACCGCCGCGCTCTATTATCCGGTTAACCGTCACAGTATTATCCGGATATCAGATAGCAAAATAACTCTAGGTTAACCAACCATAGCTTCAACATTATCCGCGGGTAACTTCTTCACTTCAGCAACAAGCATTCACTTAATTTCTTGCCGATTTAGGGCCCGTTCACATATGTTCACACTATTGCGTTGACGCACCTTAAAACCTTGTTTATTTAACTTAATCGTGCGTTGCTGCGTTAACGCATTGCGTCAACGCATTTGCGTCAACGCATTTGCGTCAACGCAGTGCGTTGTTGGAAGACAATTCTTTTTGCGTTGACGCTGCGTTGCCCGCCGTTTTTGAATTCTGATTTGGTGCTTTCGCTATTTTCGTCGTATGACTTCGGTATGTCCGAGAGTGATGATGGGTTGACAGTACGGTATTCATTGCACAGTTGGATGTATACAAGTTTATCCATACAACCAGAGTGACGATACCGTACGTGGTTCGTAAACTTACTTTGTACAGTGGACTATATTATGCGCATAAACTAAAAGGGATCGTACGGTGAGTACCGTACCGGTACGGTAGAGTCTGACAGTGCGCAGATCCCAGGTTTAAGGTACAGTACAGGCTACTGCTGTACTGTATGCTGTGTATTCACATGTGATATTCATTTTTCAGATTTGTCTTTAAAATATCCTTCATTAATTCAATCTTGTTTAAACCATGAGTCTATCAAATCAGCAAAAACTTGGAATCATGCTATGGGCAAAGCGCCGCCGTGAAAGAGAAAGCAATACCTGTACCGGTACACGATATTCAAGGCGGTGGTGGGTGCACCCCATCTTGAGAAAACGAGAGGAAGCCGGTGAGTCTTTGAACAAGCTTATCAAAATTGTAACAGCTTGTAAGTAAGGTGACATATTTTCTATTTAAATTCATGCTGCCCTAAGAGGCACAGGAGCAATGCTCTAAATAGACTTTTGGTACTGTGGTAAGTGATTTAAATTTTCTATGTTTGTCTGCCTGTTAGTTTGTCATACTGTGTACTGTCCGACTGTCATAGCCTATCAATATGTATGAGTCAATGTCATTGTTTTAGTATGTCTGTCTATTTGTTGCACTCGGGAAATTGTTGACAGATACTGGAATATTATCAGATAAGTATATCGATTGCTGTATTTTATGTATATGTTATTATGACAGAAATTTGCTTTTATAAATTTTTTTAACAGGGGTGAGCTAATATTTCATGTGTTTGTCAAGAAGATGTCTAGTTATTTTGTGTTATTATCTGTCATGGTATGTGTACTCTTTCTGTCTTTATGTGTTATTGGTTTGTGTGAATTTTATTGTTTTTTGTAGTATTTTATCTAATGTGCGTAGATATATTCCAGCTGTTCTTATTAACAAATTTAAAGTATAACTAATTGTGAAATAAAGCAGGTTATAAAGGGATTTTCTCCATTTCTTTGAGTTAAGTTAATATTCGACAAATTCTGCTTGGCTAAATTGGTAATTTTTTCTGAACTGAAACAGGTGAATTTCGTGCACTGGTACAGGAATTACGGTTGCAGCGACCTGCATATTTCAAGGTATATTTTAGAAGTACGACAAAGGAGTTTAACAAGTTCCAGAGAGTAATGCCTCTTCAGCCTATAAATGCTGGTGGGGTGGTGAAGGCCACCTGTTGCATCCATAACTTTTTGGGGAAAGGAGAAAATCAGCCAGAAGAAGTGCAGGAAGCTTCCTCAGAAGCTGACAACAATACATTACTGAGAAGTTTGTCACAGATTGGGGGTCGTGCAACATCCCGGGCGATTGCTACAAGGGAATAGTACACTGATTTTTTTAGTGGCCAAGGAGCTATTGGATGGCAAAATGACCAAGTTTGAAGGTGATCAGATCATTATACACTGTTACGCAATAAACATTACTAATTAATATACCGAGGTTGAAGTTGCACATCTTGTTCCGTCAATGTGTGCCCCCCCCCCCCCCCCCATCTAGCATTCAAATTTATTCGGAACACATAAAAGTACTACAAACCAGTATATATTTGAGCATGTTTCTACTCTGTATTAAATTCTAGAATCCAGATGAAACAAAACTTCTTGAATTTCAATCTTTGCCTGCTGAAATTTTTATTTGGCAATCGTCTAAATGTCTGCACAAGTGATTGGTCTATCAGAGTTTTGTAGTAGCAATAAAAATGAATACTACTGACCTTTATTAACTAGGCGTAAAATGGCCTGATTGATATCCAAGCTAGAAGAAGACTCTTCCAGCTTCTCTTGCACTTGGCTCTGATCTTGGATGTCACCCTCGTTTTCATATACAACGAGGGTGACATCTTCAGGCACACTGCTAGATGTTCTAAAATTAAGCAGGGGCCATATATTACCTCATACTCATTACTTAGTAAGGCATCTTTGTTTTTTACAGGTCAATGATGATTACAGGATGGGAAAAGCAAGTTTTCAGTTTATTGTTATACATTGTTTTAAATAAAAGAGTTTTGTTTCTATGAAAGTGTCATTTCATTTTATTGACATATCAGTATACTTAGTGGAGTGTATGACATGGAATATTTTATGAACTTTTATTTAGTCTTTGTAAAAATTAAAATAGGGCTTTTGTGGTAATGACATACCGTATGGGTAGAGTAAAAATGTTTTCCCAACCTCCTGCTTTCGCAGTACAAGTTTAAAAACTCTAAGCTACCCATAAACTCCCATTTTTTTTGTACATCCACCCCCTGCCCCACTCCTACTCTCTCCTGAACCTATCTTTCAACGACCTCCACCTTGTCTTGCATTCTTTCACTGTTAAAACAAGAATACCGGTACTGTTATTTTCGGTTGCATTTGACTTAAAATGACTGTCTTCTCCAGTACCCGAAGTGCGACATAAACTTACCCCCTATTCCCATTTCCTCGCCAACCTCTATCCTTCAAAATTTTGTTCCGGTAATCTACCGCCCCAACCGACCACAAACAATCCTTATCCCTAACCAACTCTATTAACTTCGCAACATCCATTTTTCGGGTTTGGGTAATTAATAATTGGTTAGGTTTTCGATAGTAAAATTTATTTCGCAGATGACACGAAATTTCCCCGCCATTGTTACGTAACAAGTGAACCGTAGCACGCTGCGTTAACGCATTCGAAGTATGAACTAGAGATGTATCGGTATCGGCAATATCGGTCATTTTTTCGGTATCGGCCATGTATCGGTATCGGTTAAATCAAGGCCGATATTTCCGATATATTTATCTTTTTGATATGGTCCAGAATATTTTAAAAGATAAGTTGGAATACTACTTTTTAATTTATTTTTTGTCTGGAGAGATCGTGAGCTATGAGCCATACATGTCCCCACCTCCGCGAGAGAATAGGATTCACGTGTTTTTAGCTATTCATCAGCCAAACTAGCTCAATTAATTTGGCTATTTTCGCTGTCAAATTTTAATATTGACATTTTTAATATTACATAGTAATTATGAAGAAATATATCAACACAGCACATAACAAAAAGCAACTAGGCGCCCAGTTTCAAATCATACAGTGGAATTGGGGTCCTTATCAACGGCACATGGACTTTTGGCACGGGTATAAGTTCTGACTGTTTGTCGTCAAGTACGAGTGTCATTTAGTCCGTCGACATCGATAAACTAAATTCCGAAATTCAAATATATGATTGCAAAATATTTTATATTATAAATAGTAAAGTAAAAAACATCCTCGACGGTTATAGGTAGGCCTTCTTTTTGTCGGTGCTGATTGATATTCTTTCATTTTGGCTTTGACTTATTGCGTCGACGATTACGATTAGCCACGAAATAAAATATTTGTAAAATGCTTTTAATCTGAACGTAGGACGGCGGCGCTAGAATGTGTGGGTGATATTCGATATTCTTTTAAACACGAATAACGATATTCGAAGGTCGCGATATTCATATTAAGTTTAAATGGGACATCCGGGCCTAATGAGTTTTCTAATTGAACACCGAGATTACTAGCGTTACTGTATAATGTATCTTAATCAGTTGAAGCAAACACCAAACATTAATTTCATTTTATGTGATATATCTTTTTTTTCGATCTGAAATAATGTGTACTATGAACAACGCTCAAAGACCATTGTTTTAACCCGTCTGCCCTACACAGCACACCTAATTAAGTAATAATTACATAGTATCGGTATCGGAATATCGGTAATATCGGCCTTTTTGTAGTATCGGCGTATCGGTATCGGCGTTTTTGGCTGGTATCGGATCGGTATCGGTATCGGCGACAAAAATGGTATCGGTACATCTCTAGTATGAACACCCTCAACGCAATTGGGTTGGATTCCGTTCCCAACGCAACGCAAACCTATGCGTCAGTGTGAACGGGCCGTTATAGTTGAGCACCATGACAACTTTAACTTTGCGTCTGGGACTGTAGCCACTAAACAACGATTTTAGCATTAGCCGAGATCGCCATGGCGGGTAATTTATTTCCAATTCCAACCGGAAAGGACGGGGGTGTTGCAAATCACCTCTGTTCCAAATGGGAAAATAGAAGGATATTCTTAAACCAACCCCGTGTAACTCCGGAAATTTCTCCCGATGTTGAATTCGCCGACACGCTTGACTTGGCGCTGACATATTATTATTGCTTCGAAAATCATCGTGCGACTTCCTGTGTTTTTCTGTGTTCTGACGGCGCTGTCTCGCGTCAAGATTAAGTGAGTGACTTATAAATATTCAAGTTAGTTGTGCACATGGAATATTACACGATATACTTGACTATAGAACTGATGGAATGCAGATTACAAAACAAAATAGAGGAACAATCAATTGAGTGGGAAGACCCTAGGACCGGTTCAGCACTCGAAAGCACATTGGCAGTAAGATTTTAAATTCACTTTAAAGCTCCCATGAGTAGATGTTTGATGAATTTTGATAAGAGATATGTGTATTTTCGGACCATAAAAAAGTTGCAGTGTGAGGATTTATGCTGTGTGATCAAAGCAGTAAGCAAGATTTCTACTGATCTTGATAATTTTTTTCCAGACTCCTCCTGTCATTGTATACAAAGTCACCAGCTGCATATTACAACATAAGAGGTGTTTTGCGTTTGCCATGATAATCCATTTTGCTTGATTTCAGGCTGGTACTAATAACCTTTTTCACATAAATTGGATACCTATTATTGCTATTATCTAAACATGGCTTCAACATATATATATATATTTATAATTTTAGATGTGCCAAAAAGTTTTGAATTATTTTGTCGAGTGTTTTTAAATTATTGATTTGTGATCAATAGCAATAACTTTTTTGCTACTGCAAAATCCACCACATTTATTGAATGCATTAATATTTCTCCTGGAACCGTTACATTTTATTAATTCCAATTTGTTTTGTGGGGTATTTACATTTTTGTTTCAAATAATACTTTGTCAAAGTGGCTGTTATACTTAGATATAAACACATACATGCTTAGATGGTAGACAAGGTTCAATCGTTGTGGGCAATTTATTTCAAAATATCGTAACTAAAATATAAATTTTTGCAGACGTCTCGAAACTCACTTTTGAAGAATGATTTGCTGTCACCAGATGGGGTTTTGGCATGGAAACACATCTAGAGGGAATTTATGAAGATATGTCTAAAAAAACATTTGAAACAGCCATGTAAACTAACAGACCAACATGTTTAACTCAATAGCTTGATAAAAATGTCTGTTAAATATTAAGCACAGGTATAGCACAAAGAATTGTTTTGGGTATTAATTCATTTGTATTTTCCTATTAGATCTATCTCTATTGAGCATTTAAATACTTGGATCATGATTATTATTTCTAAAATTACCAACAGTATTCAGGTCATTAATAACAGATGAACCGGGGAAATTTTTCTTTGTAGGTTCTTCCTGCATCTGTTGCTAGGATTTCGGAGATGTCTGAATTTGAAGCAACGCCAAGTTTTGCAAACTGCAAAATACCTTTTTTGACATATGCAACAGCACTACTGACGTGGCTTCCCTCAAAAACGGAAATCTACTACTACTCTCTGAAACTTCTGGAGACATGCAGTAGATCAGCTAAAATTTCATAAATTATTTTACACACTGGAAGTCTACAACAGGTGATTAGCTCAAGGATTTTTTAAAAAATAAATGCTATACAGCTACATGCAACACATTCTGTAGTCATATTTAAAAAACAACAACATTTCATTGCTTCTCCAGCGTATGAAGGGCTCCAAATACTGGTACCTTCAACATGTGATATACCATATTAGACCAAACATCTGTCAGACCCCGCTTTAAGTGTGAGATAAAAGTCTTCTAAATTGTTTTACTATATCATACATATAAATTTTTCGTGGCTTGAAACACTTTTTAGAGTTAGACCATCGGGACTATTATAAACTAACATTTGCGATCAGACCTGCTAGGTGTTTTGGTCTAACTTGTCAATTAAAGATTTCAGACCCCCCCCCTTTCAAAATCTTCAGCTATGCCCGTAGGGCCTCACCCTAAATATTGAATGAATCGCCAAAAGATTTTCAGTTTAAAAGATGCATATTTTGCAGGTCGCGGGGCTGGGAATCCATCGGTGCTCCAGTTGATTGAAAAGCAGCAAAGAAAAATGTAGCAATGTCCACGTGATAGAACCTAAATTGCCTTTTTACTCCAGCTAAGAACCACTCCCAAAGCCTTAAAAAACATCAATACCACTATTAATATAACTCGATATTCAGTGTTTATTCACATTAGTAATTAAAATAATAATTTGTATTTCTATGGATTATTGAGAAAAAAACTTGGGTACTCCAGAAATACGTGTACCAAGATGACGGACAACGGAACATAGTATGTGTACCAGGTTAGGCCATACTTTTAGGTACAAATACTACAAACTCACTTGGTTAGTCCCTGAACTCGTAATAGAACTAAAATAAGGAGATTTTGGCCTAACCCTAACGTGGTACACATACTACGTTCCGGTGTCCTCATTTCTTGGTACGCATACTTCAGGAGTACGGAAACTTGACTGTAATCACATACATCTTAATCTTCGTTCTAGCTGCTGTGTTTCTTCAATTGGTTTCGTATTCCATGAGTCCTATTGTCCATCTTGTTATTATTTTAGTTGCAGTACTTTGCGTATACATTTGCTCAAATTTTTTGAATACTTTCTCAAGTAGTGTTGTTACATCTTGACATTCAGTTACATTGTTTAATAGGTATTCGCTCATGAATGATTTGAAAATATTTTTCTTTTATATCAAGTGTCGGGTGTTCAATGATGTGATGGAAATAAATTTCAGCTGCTTGCATGTGTTGAGATAGCCTTTGTATAATCATTGACGTTATTTATAGATTGGTTTGATTAATTTCTTGAGCAGAGCCTTGTGTTTCTGGGTTGCATTATTAACAGAAATTGCTGCTCTACCTATGCATTCCAGATTGTTGTCACATTCACAAAAGCTGCAGTGCGCAAATCACTGGCCCTTCGTTTCGTTCGACGCCGTTGAATTCTTTCTCATAATCATCACGCAAATTTTTTACGTTTACTCATTTTATCTCTTATGAAGTTCCAGATCTAAACTAAATTCAAAGTTTAATTTACTGGTATATTCATTTATAAGGTTAAAAATAAGGACACACGTCAAAATAAAGATGTTTCTTAGAAATAAGGACAAAAACATTTCCTAAAACAAAGACCTTCAAAATAAGGACAAATTCTAAAAATAAGGACGTTGTGGCAGCCCTGATTATAGGTCAAGTGGAGAAAAAACTTCTGTGAAAGCTACAATACTTGAGATGGAGTGAGACCAAAATGCTGTGCTACTAAGCGTTTTTTTTTTATATAAAGTGCAAAGTATTCATTTTCGTCACCACTTTACCTACATCTGACTGACATTTTTTGCAATGCATCGCATTTTTGATGCCTTGCTTTCTTTCGACAAGGAAGTTGTCACATCATCCTGGTCTTTTGCAAGACAGACTGCGTCTTCAGTTTCACAATTATTTGTTCATTTTTATCGAATCTCTTCGTCCTTCAGCAAATATTTCGATCAGTCATCAATAAACAGGGCTAGTTTTCGAGCTGTGATGCAGGAGCGTCGTCGTCGTTGTTAAGCATCTAGTCTGAACAAAACCAACCGTGACGCCCGCCACTTGGAGGTGCAACATCGCCTTTGTTTGTTTATTATACGGCGAGCGGAGTTGGACATCTAGTAGTAGTATATATTTACGCTTAAACTCATAAACGAATCACTTTGAAGATTTGTTCATTCACCTGTTGTAGCACATGTGGTTCCATATATATTTCTGGCAAAAGTGTTGGAAAAATATTTTCGCGTTATATATGATTCGTTTTCGAAAACTGGGTGGCAAGATCACTTGAACTCGATGCACATGGTAATTTTCATTTTCCACGACTAATTGTTTTGGTACAATTGCCGCATACAGCGTTTAAACTGTCATTTTCACAAATTTTGAAATACTGTCAAACAACTGACTTTTTTTCCGTAAAGACATCGTAATCGACAACCACTGGTCGGAACGCAAGGTAAACATAGTCCTTGTTGGAACCTTCTAACCTTGAAACGACGTTGCCAGAAAGCAGTTCATTCCGCCCAAAATTCACCAAGTAATTCTTTCCAAAAACATTTTACTTCGAGTAGATTATTGTAGAATTAACCAGAAGTTTCACGCAAAAAATAAATATGTGCGTAGCTCAACTACGAGGTCAAATATGGAAACGCGATTACAGATGTAGATTAACGGCTACCGGTACATGCTGTACAGTTTGGCAAAACGATACGTAATACGACTTACACAATGAACGCGCATTGTTGCAACACAGTGGTAAACTTATTTACGAATGTTCCATTGTGAAGTCATATATATATTGGAATACTCATTGCGGTCGTGTAGTAGAAATCTTTGTCGAAGTTCCAGGCACATACGTTCAATTTTATCGAAATTTGAATTTTTGTCAATCGGGTGTTCGATATTTGAATAACATGGAACTAATTTTTGATTTCATGGCGCTGCTACGTTGAGGAGCAGCTGCTCTTTGGCAAAGTTTGGTTGGACTTTGCAAGGATTTCAGGTGATATAAATAAATAAAATAAATCTTATAATTACTCTATTTCTTCGTACCATCAAAATTCGTATTCAGATATTTGGGCGGAAAAAATAGTCAGCTGGATGATGCTCACGGAAACCAACGACTTCATTACCAACCTGGAAGTCCAAAACCTTGTACAGGCTGGTGCCTGGTATGTTGATTTTACATTCGTTCACGTTTAATTTACATTTTGAAAATTTACAACAAATGTCAAACTTGAAATCATCATGTAGATAACGATTATCTCATATTTTCGATTTCATTATCTACAGTACTTTACCGAGCAAAGCTGAGTAGAGGGATATTTATAGAGATGTTGCGAATGCATTCATGTATTTTGTACGTCGAACAAGGATCATTGTAAAAGTAATGTCCCATTAGCTATATGAATGTAGTACAGTGCTCTTCAACAGGGGTTCCGCAATACATGCAGTGGGGTTCCGTGAGTTTCTAGGGTTCTTTAGCGGGTTCCTCGTTGTTGTTTTTTTCATGCGAAATCATTTCTTGCTTCAACATGTTGATGCGTCATTATAAATATTCTCAGACCACCGTGTCCCATTCAAACTCCAAGTAGGCCCGTTCGTTAAACAGGAGGTTTAGTCGCAGTGCAGTTTATAGACAAAACAGAAATATTTTCAGTTGTTGCGTCACTTTAGTCATTGTTATGCAAGTAACAAGAACGCTATTGTTCTACCATAGTTACATGATGTTCAAAGTATGCAGATATTGGTCGAGACTAGAGAAAGTATATATTACAAACTAGAGTTGTTATTCAGCTTTTGTTAGAATATAGTAAAAATGGTGCGAAACCCAACTTTTTAATATTTAGTCGATACAGATAAAGCAAAATAGTATATTTTCTTATTTGAGGCGAAATAATAACAACGATGAAGGTCAGGGCAGCAATGAGAAAAGTAGTTCAAATGCAAAAAAAAGGCACCTGCTCCTTCTCCGAAGCGAACAAAATGTAATTGAATTGCCAAAATTAGAAAATGGAATGAAACATATTTGAAATACGGCTTCTTTTGCCCGATGACCAGTTCTGAATGCAGCTCCACAGCCCGAATGTCTGATTTGCTGTAAGAGACTTTCCAATTCTCAGTGGCGGCGCGTCAATAGGGCCAACCGGGGCAATGCCCCGGTTGTTTTTTCGGTATAATGAAAAATATTCGAAAAATACCTCAATATCGGTTGCACAGGCTGTCTACACTTGCCATATTCTCCCGACATGGTTCATTTTTCGCTCGCAAAGCCTTCGCCGAACGTCGACGGGGCGACGCCGATTTTGCCCCGGTTGCTCATTGTATATCGTATTCTCTCTTTTATCTTCCACTCGTCGCGTTTGTTTTCTGTTTCTTTTACTAAATCATCGGGGCTAGCCCCGAAATTATGACGACACAATGCCGACGTTTCTTACAACAACGTGTTGACATATTCACGCATTCCTTCTCGTTCGTTGGTTGCTTGAAGAGTTGATAGTTTCCTCGCCTTCGTTTTTGTCGCTTGTTTCGCTATTTGAATCAGTTAGAGACCTTTAGTCCATTTGCTTTCGATTTTCCACATTCCTTAGATAGCTTCGCATTTCTTAGCCTTAGACCTCATAATGAATAAGGTTGATGCACTACTTCGCACTCCGTTTTCGCAGCTGCCGCTTGAACAAAAATTAGAGGTACAACGTCTTGGGCCTTATCAACCAAAAAATTGTTCACTGGAACAATCCCATGACGGAGGAAAGCGTCGGCGTACATTCTGCGCAGAAACTTGGTATAAAAACACGAATGGTTGTGTTACAGCGAAGACAAAAATGCACTTTTTTGTTTTTATTGCCTACTTTTTGCTACCGCCCCTGACTCACGTTGGTGTAAATTTGGTTTTAGAGATTTTAAACACCTTTCCGAGCGTGCCAGGGATCATCAATCTTCTATGGAGCCTCTGGACAATGCAGTAAAATACCGAACATTCGGAAATGTTAATATTGCAGCACAGTTGGATGAAGGACGCGCGGTTTCTATTCGTCGGCACAACCAAAACGTCGAGAAAAACCGCCATGTTCTCGGTCGATTGATAGATGTTTTGAAGTTCATTGGTTGTCACGAGCTGTCCCTCCGTAGGCACGATGAACGGGCTGGCTCTTCTAATAGAGGGGTATTTTTGGATATGGTGGAATACACCGCATTCACAGATACAGTATTGAGAGATCATCTTGATGCCGCAACTGTTTCGAAAGGGACATCTAAGGATATCCAAAATGATTTGCTCGACTCAATGTATAAAATTTATTCACAACATTTGGCTCTGGAAATTGAGAATTGCCAGTTCTTTGCGATTCATTCTGACGAGACAACTGACATCACGTGCGTTTCCCAACTGGCTGTGATTTTTCGGTTTGTGAAAGATGGTAACCTACCGAGAGATTTCACAGCTTTGTACCAATCGTTGATCGCACGGCTTGCGGGATATCGGCTGTACTGAAAGAAGTGTTACAGCCTTACAACGCGAAGTCAAAATT